ATCTAATATTCGTATTTTATTTTATTTCAGCTTTATTTACATTTTTAATTTTAGCTTTCTATCTATATGCTAGTGTACTCCTAAAAACGACTTGGTTCATTATTCATGATCTGTTTGCTGAGCTAATGCTCTTGCTTTATTTCCTTTTCAATCAATTGGTTACAAAGGACAGCTTTTATTTTTATTTACTTTATTTACTGCTTTTATTTGATATCTTCCTCTGCAGCGGCTCACATTGGTGTGGGTATCAGCGGTCAGGAGGGGATGCAGGCTGTGCTGTCTAGTGACTTTTCTTTTGCTCAGTTCCGTTTCCTGCAGCGCCTTCTGCTGGTGCATGGGCGCTGGTCATACCTGCGCATGTGCAAGTTCCTGCGGTACTTCTTCTATAAGAACTTCACCTTTACCTTTGTGCACTTCTGGTATGCATTTTTTTGCGGCTTTTCCGCTCAGGTGAGCCAAGTGCAACAGAACTGAAAACTCTTCTTTTTCCTTGCAATTACCCTTGCAAAGACTTAATAAATGTAAATATAAAAATAATTTGAGATTCTTGCATGTCTTTCTAGACAGTATATGATGAAGGCTTCATCACTTTGTATAACTTGGTATACACTGCCCTGCCTGTTCTGGGAATGAGTCTGTTTGACCAGGTAGGGTGTGTGTGTGTGTGTGTGTGTGTTTGTTACATGAAATGAAAACTCATTAATGTATGTTTATGTCCAAACAAATACAATTCTGATGATACTGGATTCAGACAGTTGTGAAAGGCTATTGAAGAAACTTTGTATAACTTGGTATACACTGCCCTGCCTGTTCTGGGAATGAGTCTGTTTGACCAGGTAGGGTGTGTGTGTGTGTTACATGAAATGAAAACTCATTAATGTATGTTTATGTCCAAACAAATACAATTCTGATGATACTGGATTCAGACAGTTGTGAAAGGCTATTGAAGAAACTTTTTTTTTTTTTACATTTAACTTTGAAGAAACGTTCAAAAATGACAATTCATCATGCTCTTGTGTGTTAAAAAGATGAATGAGGCCTTGAGGCATTTCAACTGTATATTAATGGTTTGAAATGAACTAGTTTATTGAGATGAAACATGACTTAATATTGTTTTTTATGTTTCTCCAGGATGTGAATGCTGGCTGGAGTCTCGAGTACCCTCAGCTGTATGTGCCAGGACAGTTGAGTCAGTACTTCAGTAAACGTGCTTTCATGATGTGTGCACTTCACAGCTGGTACAGCTCTCTAGTGCTGTTCTTTGTGCCTTATGCTGCCATATATGACACGGCGAGAGACGACGGCAAAGATGGTGCAGACTATCAGTCATTCGCACTGATTACTCAAACCTGCCTCACCGTCACTGTGTGTGTACAGGTCGGTTTAACCCTGCATTGCAGTTGTGTGTGTGATTAATTTGTTTAGATGTTTTAATTTTCCCTAATTTCTACTCTATATTCCCCACAGCTGGGACTGGACCTCTCGTCCTGGACTGTTGTTAACCATCTCTTCGTTTGGGGAAGTTTGGGAATGTTCTTCATATTGACCTTCACCATGTATACTGATGGACTTTTCCGGTTACGTCCATCTTCTTTTGCGTTCATAGGTAAGCAGGGCTTGCACTTGTCTCCATCTCGGGGTTTTTTTTGGATACAAAAATGGTCAAAAATATGTCAAAAATACAAAATAACCATATATGTGTGTGTGTGTGTGTGCAAAAAAATATAAATCATTACTGTAAAAATTTTGAATAAATAAATGTATATAATATGTACCTATATTTTATTGTTTATTATGTAGTGACAATGTTTGATTTTGGTGTTATTATTTCAAAGTTATCATCTAATAATAAAAGTTAAAAATGCTGAATGACTGTGTAATTATTATATTTTTTGCTCATTTAAATTTGTATTATTATTAGATGATAACAGTATAATAAAATGCATAAGGATATGTGAAAATGATGTAGCATTCCATAATTTGAAATGTGTATGTCAAGTCACTGTTTTTCATATTAATTTTCAAGAAAAAGTGTTTAGTATAGAGTATATACAGTGTGTGTATGTGGTGTTTTACAGGAACTGCCCGAAATTGTCTTAACCAGCCCAACGTGTGGCTGACTGTTGCATTGACGGCTATACTGTGTGTGTTGCCTGTGGTTGCGTACCGGTTCTTCTACAGCCAGATCTCTCCTACCATCAATGACAAGGTATAGAGTTACTTAACATCACATCATTGATCCTCAAATAGAGTGTAAATCACAGTTCCAGTTACTTACCGGATAACGGTAAATTACATCATTATTCCATGAACTATTATTATATCAATTACTTTTAAGATCGTTTATAAAACACATTACACATTGTCATGTTCTGAATATTAAGTGATTGACTATGTTTACATGCACATCAAATTCCGTTAAGGTCATTATTCAGATTGCAGCCATATTCAGAATGTTTATGCACATACAGCTTTTGGAATATTACTGTAATACAATATGCTCAGTTTTATAACCTTTTCTGAATCTGACTAGCACTTTTCACCTAAAATGCCTGACACCACCACAAAATGGAAAGGGTCAGACAATCATTAATAATAATAATAATTATTATTATTATAATCGTTCATTTTTTTTATTTTTTATTATTCTATTTAAAAATCTGTCTCGTTGTCACTCTAGAAATGCATTGATGTTTCGTTTATTTCTTAATGCTGCAAGTTAAATTATTTTTTCATTTTGTTCTGCAGACGTAAAAAAAAACACGAAACTGCATTCTGAATTCAGAATAGTGCATTTACATAGAAAGCAGTTTCTCTCATTTAAATATATATATATATTTTTTATTTTATTACCAAACACACAGTATCAGGCAATTGGATTGCAGCGTTTACATGGCAAATAATATTGGAGTCTTGATGTGCATGTAAATGTAGTCATTGTGAGTGGCTGAATGAGAGAGAAAAAAGGGAAGACAGATTGAGAGGAAGTATGCATTATAATGTCTTCTTATAATTGTGTGTAATTGTATAAGCGATAGTAGTATAATGAATAATAGAGTAAAGAGAAAGACAGAGTCTCAAGTGCTTGCTGATGGATTTGTGGGGACAGATGGATAGATTGGTGAACAAATTAACCATTCTGTTTTGATTGTTGAATACAGGTGAGATACAAGGTGTGTCAGACGAAGGAACCGGCTCCTCGTCCGCGCCGCACCAGGCTCACCCGAAGGAGCACGCGTCGGTCTGGTTACGCCTTCTCTCACGCCCATGGTTATGGTGACCTCGTGACCTCTGGCAGATTTCTGCGGCGACATGCGCTCACTCCCTCCACGGGCTTGATTCCCACAGGACGCTCTCCTGGCTTCAAGCCCACAGGTCGGTCTGCGGGTTACAGCCCAGTCGGGCGAGAACAAAACCCCAAACAGAAAGTAGAACCAACGTCACTGCAGATGTTTCGTGCGGTTAAAGACTGTTCCTTTTGAGGGTGCAAAAAAAAAGTCAGTCATATGGATGTATCAACATGATGGTAGGTAAATAAATAATGACAGAATATCGTGCTTTGGGTGAACTATCCCTTAAATTCTTTTGATTTTAATGTTTGTTTTACTTATTATACTGTATGCTTGTTTCTAAACATTTTTAATTTGAACTTAATTTGAATTAATTTGAATTATCATCACTTTAACTACTAAAAGCTAGACTAGAGACAGGCCCCAAAAAGTATTTGAACACTTCAGACAACATTTGCAGCACAATAATACCACCAGGTCACGAAATATCAAAAAGAAATTGGTTTTAAAAGGGTCATATGATGCGATTAAAATTTTTCCTTTCTCTTTGAAGTGTTACAAGCTCTTGGTGCATAAAGAAGATCTGTAAAGTTGCAAAGACTAAAGACTACCTAAAACGGCTCGTTCTAACAC